CCACTGCCATAGTCCATGATAAGTGATGGTGTGTTTATCAGCTGGCCTTGACACTCTTCTGCCTCTCCCGGCTGACACGGGGAAGCCAGATTCAGATAACAACTGTTGTTTTGGGTCAGGCCGACTCCGTTATTTTCTGTCTGCCTTATAGTTCCACTGGTACAACTCCATGGCGACTCCAAACAACCACATTTTTGTGGTCAGTACCTCCGGGCCGAGCTTGTAACTTCTCCAAGGTCAATTCCTTCCAGTCAGTGAGATTCAGGAGCATCAAATAGCCTGCAATTCTCAGCAGAAATCACATCCAGCGTACGGCTCAGCTCACACAGCATTTGAGTTGGAGTGTTCACAGCTTGGCACATTCCTTCGTAGAGGTCAGACAGCTTCACACTGGCCAGAACAGCTGCCAACGGTTTTCGAATTTGTCAATATGCCAGGTAACCCTCAACTCAAAAAAGCAGAAATCATGTTATCATAAATCCAATTATGTACGCATCTTCAACATCCTCGACCAACAAGATGGACAGACACATGATCTTCCACTGCCCCCAGGAATCCATCGTGTATCTGGCTGCAAGTATCCCGTCTGGGCACGAGGGCTCTCCTTCACCCTGTCTTCTCGTCGAGAAAATTTGATCAATTGCCTTGAGAGACCAGCTGACCAGATCTATAATTTACAATTTGGAAGACAATTTGCTAAGGGAGGCTGAAAAATGGTTCAGGGGAAGGAGTGGGAGGAAAAAAACGTCTGCCTTCACCGAGAGCAAGAAGAAGGAAAAAAAAAAAAGCAAATACAAATGACCGATTTAAGCAAATAAGTGACCTGTCCAGGTTGTCCCCCGCCTCTCACACTAGACAGTGACCCCCACGACCTGAAAAGAAAGAAGCGGGTAAAGACATTGGATGGATGAATAGATGGATGAAGTTCCTATTTTTAAGTGTGGATAAAATAAGTAATGCTAATTTAAGTTTTCCAGGCCTGTTGTTTCTGCCTGTTAGGACATCATGAGCAACACACCACGATGTATGTGATGTGTGTTGGTGTGTGGCAATGAATGATGTGGTTGGTAGAGATTATAAAGAACAGAGGAGTGGAGCGTTGAATTAAAACAAAAGGAATACAATGAAGGAGAGAGAACAACGATAAGAAAATGTATCCAAACAGCGGATGACTCCGTTCAGGCACCATTTTGGCACAATGTGTGAGCAATGTGTGTGTGTGAGCAACTTTCTTTTTTATATATATATACATATATATAACCTTTATATAACCTCATTAAGTCACAAAGACAAATTTTCAAGAGAGACCTATTTTAGACATACAACATATAGAGTACAGACAACACTATACAACAATAAAACGCAATTAAAATACAATATAATATTATAAAAACACTATTATTAGCAGCATTGTCTTGTTAGCAGCTGGGTCCTGTTAGCAGCATGGTACTGTTAGCAGCATGGTGCTGTTAGCAGCATGGTCCTGTTAGCAGTGTGGTCCTGTTAACAATGTGATTCTGTTAGCAGCTTGGTCCTGTTAACAGTGTAGTTCTGTTAGCAGCATGATCCTGTTAGCAGCTTGGTCCTGTTAGCAGTGTGTTCCTGTTAACAGTGTGGTTCTGTTAGCAGTGTGGTCCTGTAAGCAACATGGCACTGTAAGCAGAGTGGTCCTGTTAGCAATGTGGTTCTATTAGCAGCATGTTCTTGTTTGCAGTGTGGTCCTGTTAGCAGCATGGCACTGTTAGCAGTGTGGTCCTGTTAGCAGCATGGTCCTGTTAGCATCATGACACTGTTAGCAGTGTAGCACTGTTAGCAGTGTGGCTCTGTTAGTAGCATGGTCCTGTTAACAGCATGGCACTGTTAGCAGCATGGCACTGTTAGCAGTGTGGCTCTGTTAGCAGTGTGGTCTGTTAGCAGTGTGGTCCTGTTAGCAGCATGGCACTGTTAACAGTGTGGCTCTGTTAGCAGCGTGGTCCTGTTAGCAGCATGGTCCTGTTAGCAGCGTGGCACTGTTAGCAGTGTAGCTCTGTTAGCAGTGTGGCTTTGTTAGCAGCATGGTCCTGTTAGTAGCTTGGCACTGTTAGCAGTGTGACACTGTTAGCAGTGTGGTCCTGTTAGCAGCATGGTCCTGTTAGCAGCATGGCACTGTTAGCAGTGTGGCTCTGTTAGCAGCATGGTCCTGTTAGCAGCATGGCACTGTTAGTAGTGTGGTTCTGTTAGCAGTGTGATTCTGTTAGCAGCGTGGCACTGTTAACAGTGTGGCTCTGTTAGCAGTGTGGCACTGTTAGCAGTGTAGCTCTGTTAGCAGCATGGTCCTGTTAGCAGCATGGCACTGTTAACAGTGTGTCACTGTTAGCAGCATTTCACTGTTAGCAGTATGGCTCTGTTAGCAGCATGGTCCTGTTAGCAGCATGGCACTGTTAGCAGTGTGGCTCTGTTAGCAGCATGGTTCTGTTAGCAGCATGTCACTGTTAGCAGTGTGGCTCTGTTAGCAGCATGGTCCTGTTAACAGTGTGGCACTGTTAGCAGTGTCACTCTGTTAGCAGTGTGGTCTGTTAGCAGTATGGCTCTGTTAGCAGCATGGTCCTGTTAACAGTGTGGCACTGTTAGCAGTGTCACTCTGTTAGCAGTGTGGTCTGTTAGCAGTGTGGTCCTGTTAGCAGCACATTTTTATCTATTTTCAACAAAACTTGTAGAAATAAGAAACGGAAGAACGTATAAACTGACCACTCTTTGGAGTTAACCCAGTTCAACATGGCCGCCAAAGCTAACTGACTTTAGCAAATATAAATATGGTTTTAAATCAGCCAATTCTAAAAATATGGTCCTCATTTTGATGTGGTAGTAGCTGAGCCTGATTTCCAACATCTTCTGAGCACTAAAAATTTACACAATATCTTTGTTCCAAATTCTTCCAGTAACCATTTGGAATCACCTCTGTCTGTCTGTTAGCAAAATATTTCATGGCACACTGGACTGATTTTAGTGAAACTTTTAGGAAATGATCACTACAAGAACCAATACAACTGAATAACTTTTGGAGCTAAGCTTTTTCAGGATGGCCGCCAGAGTCAGCTGACTTAAGAAAACGCAAAAATGGTTAAACTTTTCAAATATGAAGCTAACAATTGCTGTGGTCGTAGCTGAGCATCACTCCTACATACTCCCAGCGCTACTCAATGCACACAATCCTTGCTTCAAACTTAGCATTAACCGAGTCAACACTGTTTGTCTGTTAGCAAAATATCTCATGAACTACTAGACAGATTTGAATGAAACTCTCAGAAAGTAACCCTGAATATACGCCTACAACTAATTAGCTTGTAGAGTCAATCCAGTTCAATATGGCTGCCACAGCCAGCTGAACAGAACGTGTCAGGTATGCCGCTCATGCAGACAAGTACACACAAACTGAGACGCACTCGTTTCTGACCAAACCTGACTTCAAGCAGAAAGTCTATACCGTAGTTTTCGGGTGCCTTATGGTCCGAAAAATACGGTAAATGCAAAATGAATTGTTTTTTACTTACTCATACATCCATAAAGGACAATTAAATTAAATGCAATTTGATGTTGAGTTCAAATGAGAAGATGTGCAGCGGTAAATAATTATTAGTCCATCAGTTAGCTCCTGGCTGATTTTAAAACGGTTTAGTGAAACAATATCAGACTGAAGCAGCCTGGTCTTGCTGATATTTGCTGCTGGCAGCCTCTAAAATCATTCAGCGTATTTAACAGCTCAAATACAGAATAAATGAGCTGCTACGTTCTGGCCTCCTCTCTCTTTTGGAGGTGGAGAATGTGACCGAGATGACTTCTGCTCGTACGCAGTTGTTTCGGCTCGTCAGCATAAATGAGGCCGCTGCTCGTATTTAAATGGAAGCGAGACGTGCTAAGTTTCCTTATAAAACTAAAGACTATTTGTATGAAATCACATAAATGATGCATTTAATATTAGCTTTCATCGATCCAAACTGGGGCTTCTTCCACCACCTTAACGTTGCTTTGTAGCCAAAATCTGAAAATGCACAAATCAAAGCTTTTGCACACTTTGTGCACATTCTCCTTAAGACTATTTAAGAAAGAAAAAAATCCTGGTTGTGCACAAAAAGTAATAAAAATTTGGCCTTCCTTGCAGGATTGCACATCCTGTATCACCTCGTATGCCAAAGCTTAAAGCCCTAAATATCCCACGATGGGAGTTGCCTTGATCAAACCTTGTTCATAAAAGCTCATGCAATACAGTGAAATGAGTTCAGATCTATTAGTGCTCAGAGAATGTGTCGAGAATGACTCTCAGCTATGACCGCGTCAGGTTTTAGCTCCATATCTGAGAAGTTGACTGAGTTATAGCCATGTTTGTGTCTGCGCAAACCTATCGGCTGTGACAGCGGTTTTCATTTGTGTTGATTCCAAAAGTTAATCACCTGTAAATGTGCACCCAGCGATTACTCTCTGAGAGTTTGATTAAAATGTGTCCACTGGTTCATGAGATATTTTGCTAACAGACAAGTGAACTCACGCACAAAGCTGGTATCTGGATTCAGTCGGATCACTCGGATAGAATTAGTACCAGGTGTGAACGTGGTTATAGTACCTGTGAATTAACACGTGACAATTAATTCAGATATCACGTCTTGGCAAAAAAAACGGAATACGGTATATATATATTTTAGCACCATTTTTTGTTTATAATTGTCAGCCTATAGATCTGCAAACAACACTTGACAAAGTTCTTCTTAGGCCTATTTTAGTAAAAAATAAAAATTAAGCCTGGTAAAAAGCCAGTATCTACCTTGTTTTACCTTCCTCAAGAAACATATATACAGTACACAGTATATAAATGTTTTAGCAATTTAAAGTTGATTTATTTTTCTTTGAGGATGTTGAGGGCCAGATGGAGGTAGCTCTAGAGCCACATCTGACCCTCACTTTGCCCACATGTGATATAATCCTTAATGTTTTTCTGTTTGTTTGTTTATTTATTTGTTTCTCTCCAGGACCCGAGGTCAAAGCATAAATTTAAGATCCACACCTACTCTAGTCCAACTTTCTGTGACCACTGTGGCTCTCTACTCTACGGCCTCATACACCAGGGCATGAGATGTGACCGTACGAGCACCCACCTGCACACACATGTCAAACCCATACCTGATCATGCTAACACCACTGACTGCACTGTGTCTTTGTCTCCAGACTGCATGATGAACATCCACAAGCGCTGTGTGCCCAACGTGCCCAACCTGTGCGGTACGGACCACACCGAGAGGAGAGGCCGCATTGAGATCAGCGCTGAGGTCAAGACTAATGTTCTCACTGTTACCAGTGAGTGTGTGGCAGGAACACACACACACAGACAGACACACACAGACACACATAGCACATGTGCGCAAACAGAAAGAAAATTCAGTTTAAAGAAAACCTTGTCTTTTGTCGCCCTCTGCTGGTCGACTGGCAGCACTGCAATGTCAGACTTTAGTTCAAATTCAGACATTAACAAAACTTACTAGATATTTCTGACAAAGATTTGATCAGAATACACACATTTGTTGTGAAATTTGTGTTAAACTATATATATATTCAAAAACATCTTCTAGCATAGATCCGTGATGTAATTTTTAAAGACAATTTTACAATTAAGACTCATGTTTTACACCAATGATCGGGTATAATGAGGACATGACTCAGTTAAATATAAAGCGAGATTAAATGAGTTGGTTCACACGTCTATGGTAAATGTGAGTAACACAAAAATATGTTGCACATTTGAACTGAAACAGGCTAAATAAAGGAGGGACAGCTAGATCCTGAGAAGCACAACACAGTGAAAAGATGCAGCAAAGTTAAATTTAAGGTCTCGTTACAGAATCATTACACATTAATTTGTGCTGAAGTTTTTCGGTGCAGTACTGTCCTTTTAGTACTATTAAAATTTCTACAAGATGAAAATCAGAAGTTTGAACCATAAAGTTAATGTGTCAGTGACTTACGCTTGAATCTGAGGGTTTAATATTAGATGAAGATAAACCAGCATGATGTTCAGAACTAACTCTCTTAGACAAACTTCAATTAATATTAACCACTGCCACTAAAATATGTCAGAATAACTAAAACTGCCTTACATCCATAGACCAATTGGTTTTTTCTTGTGAACTTGCCAGAACTTCAGATTTAATTACCTTTATATACTTTATAAAAAATTGGTTTTGCCTTTTTTTTTTCATTTTGAGGGACTGATCTTTTGAAAAAACATGTTTTATCTCCAAATGCTTTATGTTTTTTTTTTAAGTATCTCTATAAGTCTACTGTAGTAAAGACTATTCTTCCTGGGGTCCACACCCACAAGCATTACAGTACTCAAATATTACAATATGACCATTACAACTCAAAATCTCACAAAATAAGCCAGAAGACATCAGCACAAGTTGTTGACTACAATAATTCCAAACATTGTCTAAAGAAGAGAAAAACACAGTCTACATTTCACTCGTTGATCAACAAATCCATTCAGTTCATTATTATTTCGTTTTGCATTATAGATTTGTTAAGGCTCTTTTTAAAACCATCATGATCACCAATCAGTTAACTTTGGATTTTTTTACCTGGATTATTGAGCATGAGCTTTGATCACCAGTCTGTGTTATCTCAGAAGCCACGTATGTATGAAATGACTCGTATCAGTACAGAGCTGTTTGTCTGAGGGCATGAGTTCTGGGCAGAGACAGTGTCAGAGTCAGAGTTTCTTTATTTGTCATTCACACCACATGTGGTACATGTGGTGGAACGAGACTGTGTACTCAGGGTCCCAGTTACATCCAACAATAAAATGTAAAAGAAAAACAATAATAACTGTGAGAAGGGCCAAAAGGTTGATGTAAAATCCACATTTTATGTAAAAAGAAAAGAAGGCTGCAGACTAGTCTGTCACTGACCTTCATCCATGACAGGCTTTGGTGAATTAACATTGGCTGTAAAAGAACAGCCGAGTGCTAATCTGGTAGCTTTATTTATAACTATCTGCAGTTTGAGGCAGGTAAGGAGGATGGATGGGTGGGTGGTTGAATGAATGGATGGTAGGATGGATGGATGATGGATATGGATGGATGGATGGATGAATGAATGGATGGTTGGATGGATGATAGATAGATGGATGGATGGATGATGAGATGGATGGATGGATGGATGATGAGATGGATGGATGGATGATGGAGATGGATGATGGATATGGATGGATGG